TAAGAACTACTTGGACCCTTAGGGTAAGTGCCTTAAGAAGACCGCAGGTGAGAAGGGTAGCAGGTGGCAGCTGGCGTTGTCCTTCTTCTACGACCTGCCTAAGAACAGACTCTTAGTTGGCCAATGGGAGAACTTTAAGCTTTTTGGCCTTATATATTAGGTCTATCCGAAAAAGTTTGAACTTTTTGGGCCTGGTTGTTGAAGAAGAGAGGACTAGCACCCGATAACTTCAGCTACAACGCAACCATCAGCTCCTGCGAAAAGTCTAGCCATTGGCAGCTGGCTCTGCTTCTGTTTTGCCGGGCCGAAAGACGGCTGCAGCCAGACACCATGACGTATAACGCCACGATCAGCTCCCTTGAAAAAGGCCATCAATGGCAATCCGCACTCCATTTCTTCGCAAAAATGCCAGAAGCAGGGGTAACTGCTGATGTTGTGAGCTACAATGCCACCATCAGCTCTTTTGAGAAGGCCGGACAGTGGCAGCTGGCCTGGCTTCTGTTCAACAGCCTGCCCGCATCCGAACTCGATCCCAGTGTGATAAGCTTCAATGCTGCGATCAGCGCATGTGAGAAGGGATTGCAGTGGCAGTTAGCCATGCATTTGTTCAACCGCATGCCGACTGCCAGGGTACTGCCTGATGTTGTCAGCTACAGTGCAACCATCAGTTCATACGAAAAAGGCAGTCAGTGGCTGCTGGCACTACGACTGTTCAGGCAAATGTACAATGCCCAAGTGTCAGCGGATGCCATTGCCTACGGTGCAGCTATCACCTCATGCGACAAGGGCGCGCAGTGGCAGCTAGCACTGCGACTCTTTACAAGGATGTGCAAGGACGAATTAGCAGCAGATACAGTTGTCTATAATAGTCTCATCAGCTGCTATGCAACAGGTGGTCAGTGGGAATTGGCAATGCAGCTTTTCGGAGGAATGACCAATGCAAAACTGGCAGCTAATCTCGTCTCGTACAATACCACCATGAGTGCCTGCGGCAGCAGCCACTAGGCTGCTTGCTGGCATGTTTTTGTTGTTTCTGGGTATACTACAAAAAAGAGCTTATACTGTTATCTAGTGGCCAAGTAACCGAACAGCCCAGGCCATCAATGGCAACTTGCACTGCATCTCTTCAGCATCATGGACGCTGACAGCTCCGCCATGGCATCTTCTGATCTACCCAGAGCTCCATGACTGCGGCACTTCCTTTAATCCGGATCTAAGCTTCTGATACCTATAGTCTCCATTGTAGTTCCTTTTTTGGTTTAACCAGCTTCATATGTAGGATCCTGAAATTTAGCCCCCCCAAAACGAACTACGATGGAGACGACGGGTATAGCAGCTTAAGCTTCAGAGTTTTAGGGTTTAGATCTGAGGGCTGAAAGTTTACATTTGAGGGTTTAGAGACTAGCGCCGACTCTCGGAGCTAGCCGCGAGCCTCCAGGTCCTCGTGTAAGATCGGCCACCGCTCAACTCCGTCGGGTTTAGGGTTTAGGGTTTTGGGTTTAGGGTTTAGGGTTTAGGGTTGAGGGTTGAGCGTTTAGGGTTTATGGCATGGACGCGCTTCCATCGACGCCACATGCTTTAAACCCTATAGACCCTAAACCAAGGAGGCCCATGGCGCCTCAATTGCCGCAGGTGGAGAAAATCGATCCCAAAAGGTCCTCGGTACTGATGTGGGGGAGACCTTCCCAAATCATTATTGCAGTAATTCCTACTATAGAAACCCTATATTATAGGTACTTAGGGCGTTTTCTGGCGAAGCTTTCCTGCTTTGTGTGCGGCCTCCAACACCCTACAATGCAGGAAAAGCAGCTGCAGCACGTAATTCAACCACCCCCCAAGCTCTACCCCAAGGGTCCAGGTGGTCCTGCTGTATGGTTTTGGGGGTTACGAGTTAGGGTTTGGGCTAGCAGGGGCACCTTTGTCCAATTTTGTCAAGGCTCACTTTCGTTTTCAATCCAAGACCAGAGACATGGGTTCCGGGCTGTAGACGTTTATGGTTTAGGGACTTACAGCCTGCGGGTTCATACTTTTCAATTCTTGAGGGTTTTAGGCTTTATAAAGCCTATAGGGTTTACCCACAGGCCCCATAGTAGTTTCTTTTTGTGACCCTAAACCCTAAACCCTTAACCCTAAACCCTAAACCGGTAATCCTCAAAAGGAGCTACTATGGGGCCTATGGGTAGGTTCAGGGCGGAGCCACGTCCGGCACGGGTGTGCTATGGAGTTTGCAACCCCTCTAGGGTCCAAGTGCACAAATAGTACGGTAGGGTTTAGGGTTTAGGGTTTAGGGTTTAGGGTTTAGGGTATAGTATAGCACCATAAATCCCATAGTTTAGGTATATAAGGTCATGCAGGATTTTGTCCATCAACAGTATGGCCTTAGCTGCTGAACAACATTCACGGTAGTAGTATTTGCGACCTCAACAGCCTACTTATTACTTACTATTGTGGGCAGTTCGACCTTCAGGACAAGATGCAGTTACAAAGCGCGGAAGCACACAGCGGAACCTAAGACCCACACGGAAAGCTTATAGCTCTTGCGCTCCCCAACAAGATAGAAGCCTATGTACACACGGCAGACTTCCCTTTCAACAGGAACCCTCCCTATATTATAGTTCTTGTTTTGTGATATTGTTGTTTCCAAAATCTCAACCCGAATATAGACCTTCATGGGAGCTTCCTGTAGCTTAATACCTTAACCTCAAAAGTCCAAGTGCTCAACACTTTAGACCCCCCCCCATACCTTCAACGTGATTACAACCAGGATCCTGAGAACAGGCTACAGTAGGAATCCTCGTATGAAAGCTCTTCGAAGTGATAAATGTAGGGGCCTTAATAATTACTTATATACCATTTTGGGGGTTCCTTATTATAGCTATAGTATAGTATGCCCCGCAAACCCTATTGTGATTAGTAAGGCCTCTAGCCTATACGATTTTATAACCAAGCACTTGAAGAAGGCCTTCCTTATTAACCCCTAAACCCTCAACCCTCATGCGCCCTACCTAGACCCTGGAGGACCTACCTGTGCAAGGGGTTTCGGGTGTAGGGTTTAGGGGACTTACAGGAATATCATAGGGTTCGGCAACAGCCTGAGCCCCAAACCTTAAACTCTACGAACGCTACATGCTAAACCCTCACCCCTACACTGCAGAGAGGAAGCCTTTTGGGGACCAACGAACATACAGGTCCAGGGTTCACAATAGAAGCCAGAAAGTTGGAACATCATTCTCCCCATGACCTTAAGGTGAAGTATATGGAATCCCAGCACTAATCATCCTAAATCCATGCTCCAACTTTCTGGGGTTCACTATAGGGTTCAGGCTTTCGCAGTTTATTGGTTTAGGGACACCCTTCAGGTTCAAGGCCTGCGGGCTTGATTTATGGGTAAGGGACTGTGGAAGAGAATCGCTCAGAACACAAAACCGCTGTATAATATGAGCATATTTATGTCTATATCTGCATATATATATATATATAAATACGTACAAAGAAGCTAAATGCCGTAACACAGAACAGCAAAACTCCCTCTGAAGCCTTTCAAGCCTTCAAAAACTCGCTACAAGGCCTTGACTTGTCAAGCCCTGACACCCCAAGCCCTAAACCCCGAAACCTTCAATCCGAAACCACAACCCTAAAACCCTTTAACCCTAAACCCTTAAGCCAGACAGGTCCAATACAGGAGCTTAAATAATTACATGCAAAGACAGTTGGTGGCTCCGTACTTAAATTGTACCCCAAAGCCTGTTCTAGAAAAAAAGGCGTCTAAACCCCAAAAACTTAACCCTAAAACTGCAGAACCCTAATCCCTAAAACTCTAAAATCTATGCCCATCCCCTAAACCCTAAACCCTAAAACCCTAAAGCCCTAAACCCTAAACCCTAAACTGTGCCCAGTGAGCCGGATTTCCCTTTCGCCTCTGTGTGAAGGCTCCCAGGATTTGGCCAGCACAGGCAGCCTTGGCAGAGTTCGTTTAAGGGTTCCTCTGAAGGGTTCCCTTTAAAGGGTTTAGGGTTTAGGAGCCCATTAAAGGATCCCTTAAAGGAACACTAAAGAGACTTTAAAAGTCGTAAAGGTTTCCTTTAAAAGGGCCCCCTAAAGGATCCCTTAAAGGAAGCCCCAAAGAAACCCCTTAAAGGGTTCTTTTCAAGGGACCCCCTAGAGGATCCCTTAAGGGGAGCCCCAAAGAACCCTTCAAGGGTTCCTGTGTAAAGGCTTCCTCTAAAGGTTTCTTAAGATCTCTTTGAGGTACCTACGGTTGATGATGTAAATCCTG